CATTGAACAGGGTTCATCCTCTACACTGGCACAAAGCGCGCGAACAAGGGCTGCGTGTTACTCCAGTGTCAGTAGGTGCCGCTGGTGCGAAAGTGAATTATGCACCATATGCCGCCGTACATTTTCAGACCTTTCATACGTCCGCCAGCAAAAGTCACTTCAGAGCAAACGGCATTCAGCACGTTTTCGGCACGACTTCAGCCATTAGACAGCCGTATGGCGCCACGAGACGTCACGAGACGTGGCCGGACGCGGCTTCTCGATCCCGAAATGGGCGGAGTGCCGTGCGCACGGGGTTCGCACATACGCCAAAGTCACGTTATGGACAACCACATCCTCACTGGGTCCGGATGTTGAGGCGTGTGGGACTGTGGCGAGAAAATGAAACTGAGTCTGGCATCGGGGCCAGGTGCCGCCCCCGGTTAGTCGGGCATCCACGGAAGCGGGTGGAACGGATGAAGCATGTTTTCCGTGCAGGCCTCGTATAGCAATGTCGTATTTTTGTAGTCAGTTGTACAGCAAAAGCCAAACTGATAGCCACAGCGTCCACTCTCCCGGAGGGTTAGGACTTCCCTGCGCCATACGTTACCCACGCGGATCATGCCTGTCCAGTGGGCAGAGCGGTAGGTACACACGGGACCTGCCCGTGTCCTGTGGTTACAGCGGTCGGTACACACGGGATCCACCCGTGTCCCTTGGGCAGAGCGGTCGGTACACACGGGACCTGCCCGTGTCCTGTGGGTACAGCGGTAGGTACACACGGTACCTACTCGTGTCCTGTGGTTACAGCATTCGGTACACACAGGATCCACCCGTGTCCCGTGGGCAGGGCGGTCGGTACACACGGGACCTGCCCGTGTCCCGTGGGTACAGCGGGCGGCAGACACGGGACCTGGCCGTGTCCTGCGGGCAGAGCGGTAGGTACAAACAGGATCTGCCCGTGTCCTGTGCACACATCGGTCGGTATATCCGGGACACATCGGTGCCCGGTGTCCCGAGAGGGCGCCGCCGGACCCGCCGCTGTGGCACGCCATCCTACCACTAACGCCGGGCCGGGTAATTACCACCGGCTGCGTGTCTGTCGCTGCGGGGGCAGGAGGCGCAGCGCGGCGGTGGTCTGACTCGCCGCGCCCCGCTCCACCGGTGGGTCGAGTCAAGGGGCTGGCTCATCGAGCCAGCGCGTGCCGTGAGCCGACCCGGATCTGTTAGAGTGGCGGACTGTAGCTGAGACTGCGGTGACAGCTCAGTGGTACACCTAAGAAGGCTGGACCGGAATGCTAGAAATGTAGTTCTAGCGGCGGGTGATAGCAAATAACATGGAGACCAGGCCTGATCTGATAAAAAATCGTACGATCTTAAATCAGAGTTCATTCTCCTTATCAGCATCGAGACACTGAGAGGAGGAGTCTGCGACACTCTGAGGCCAATTAAGCTCGCATTTCTTCAGGAGACTATAGTGACTGATTCGCAGGCCGATAACAGCGCCAAGTTGGGATCATATTTAGGAAGAGATAGAACCAGCGCGAGGCAGATACTCCTCGCGTAAAAAGCTGACACTAGTTCGACAAAGTTTGGCTTTACAAACCAATTGTCTGATGTAGAAGCCATTTTTAAAGCTGAATCCAATGGGAAATAGGCTGAGGCAACATCACCTGCGGCGCCATGCACGCATTATCTGAGGATAATCTCTTGCGTTCCACATACATAATGTCGTTACGTAGTAACATGGTGCGCCCAGCTGGTGTCAGTCGAAGAGGCGGAACACGGTCTGTGCCCGAGCGTAAGGTGCAGGTCAAATGTCAAATGTTAACTGAACCCTGGATCTGGAGCCGACAGAAGTTACAAATTAGTTTGCTCCGAAATCGGCCAGGGCGCGCCGCGTTACAGCGCGCTTGCGGGAGGCGCGCCTGACGACTTACCGCCACTGGCGTCCGTTGGGAGACGGGCGGCGCGGCCGCTCAACAGGCGCCGCCGCCAGCTGCGTCGGCTCCGCCCCGCTCGGACAAGTCGCCACACGGCGCAGAGCGTTCCCAGTCGCTCAGCCGCCGCAGCACACAGTGCAGCACCTGTGGAGGCGGCCGCGCCGCAGCCGCCGGTTCGGCCGGCGCCGGTCGCCGGTCGCCGCTCGCGCTCGCTGCCGTCGCCCGCCAAGCGGCGGCGTCCGATCGGACGGCTGGGCCCGGTCACGGCGCCGCGCACGGGCTCATCCACCTCCGCCCCAGCCGCCGGCCAACAGAGGGGGCCAGGTGAAGCTGCGTCACCACAGCCGGCACACTGCCGGGCAGGAAGCAGGGCGGCGCTGCGGCCAACTGCGCCGCCGCGGCCGTCTATCGGGCCGGCGGCGGCCGATAAGGCGTCGCCGTGACCCGATAGCGCGGTGCCGCGCCGTGCGGCGTCGGCCGGGCTCGCCACGGGAGCGGCGCCGGCGGCATCGCACCCTCGGACGCCGCCGCCGCCGAGCCGGCCCTGCGGCAGCGTGCAGCCGCGCCGTCTGCCGGCCGGCAGCGCCTCGCGCGCCCACTCGCCGCCGGCCGGCGGTGGC